CAGGCTCTCACCACCCTCACACTCCACAATTCCCTCCTCATGTCTCACCTCAGTCTCCCCTCTTCCAGTTTTCATCCCTTCCCCCTTGTCCTCTCCCTCCCTGCCCTTGTCCCAAGCCCCTCCCCAGCTTTCCTGGAGCCCCTTCAGGCACTGGAAGGTGCTGCCAAGAAGCCCACGTGCATGTAGGAATACTCTTACCCCTTTTCCAAGGGATCTGGGGTAAAAGCAGCCCCTAGAGCATCCCCACAAGGGCAGCATCACAGCCCCTCCTCACAGTGACAGTTGTGAACCCATTTCTTTTGGGCTCTGCATGGCTGGGCATTAATCAAGAGGTGCAGAGCTCTTTGGTTCCATCACAGGAAAGCACCCAGTCGTGTTCTTGACCTGCAGCACGTGAAAATCCCCTTTCCCATCACGATCACTGCACCGTCTCACTTCTTGGATGTTGAATATGGGCTTGAGGCCAGTGGATTCCTTGCTCTGTCCAGGAGAGGGACCCCAATGCCCCGGGTGGCACAGACATTTATTTCCAGCTGGCCTGTACCAACCTAGGCAAGAGGCTGGGATGCTGAGCATGGAATTCCAAAGGTGAATATTTACTCGTGGCCACGAGGTGTCCCAGCCAAACCAGGGCACCTTGAGTGTGGTTTTACACAGGGTTCTCATTCCCTGCCAGTCTGCAGGTCCAGCACCATCAGCCTGCTCACTGACAGCCTGGCTGCCAATGGCTCATCCCAGCAGAACTCTGCAAAGCCTCTTTCTGCAGCATTTCCTGCTGCTTGTCTGTTGAGCCAGGAGTCCCTGGGGCACAAGTCACTGACCTGTGACACCAGAGAGGGCTGGGGGGGCTCCAAGAGGCATCAGAGGGGCTGGGATGCTGCTTGTCATGGGTGTCCTGGGCTGTCCTGTATCCTTCATGGGCAGGTCTGAGCTTCCAGCAGGCAAAGTCCTTCTCTCTGGGACAGGGCTGCCCTTTCCTTTGCTTCACTTGAGGGTGAACATTCAATACCAGAGTCTCCAGTCAAATCCCACTGCCCCGTCAACCAACAGACATTAACGCGCTCCCCTGCTCTGAGGACTGATGGACCAGGCAGGAAGGGGACCTGGGGACCCTTCAGGGTGGGTTCAGGCACTGCAGGCTCTGGGTTTGGGGCAGGTAGGAGCGGATGCGGGAGGGCAGAGCCCGCAGCTCCTCCCGCGGGGTCCGGCCCCCTCCTGCGGCCGGGCCCGGGGCTGCGGGGGGCTCTGTCCCCTTGTTCTGTTCATCGATAGATGACGGGAAAGGGGATTTTCACCCGCTGGAGGTGAAGG